ATAATTTTACTAATTTCACCCTTTCTAATTTTATTTTATGGTTCATCTCTTGAAAACTCATAATAAAGATTTAATTTGGAAGAGGTTTTATATATATATATATATATATAAAAAAAAAAAAGCTGGTTGACTATGAGCTATCAATAAACAAATAATTTACTCCCAATATTTATCTGCAGGTTGACAGGCGGATCAAGTGTTTTCTTTCCTTTTTTATTAGTGGGACCACTCTCAGAGAATAGCATCTCGTTTCTTGTTTTTCAATTACCAGAACCCACTTTGAGGGCACATTTGGAGGGACGGTATCCCTTCCAATGACGTCACACACAAAAAAAAAAAAAACCAAGGTCGCACAAGTCATGTTGGCGCAACAACAGTGCGCCGATCCGAGCTGGTGTGGAGCTATTTATTTTTTTTTAAGAAAAAAGTTGCTCCATTAAATTTGTTTAAAATTTGCAACCTTTCAAAATATTAAATTTGTTTAAAATTTTTCACCTACAGGTTGAGAATATATTATTACCCTTATATGCTTTTATTCTAACTCCGAATTGGGAGTATACTCGTCGCCGTCGTCATCTACAGCGGTGACTACAGATTCCCAAAACCTCCATTCCTCCTAGTATAGTCGTAGTTGTCACCTTGTGATTGGATTTTCTCCATGAGGCACACATGCCATGTACGATAATCATGTGGTCTCACCCCATTGGCCAAATGGGTCCATTTCATTACTGGGGTCCATACTATTTTGCATGAGAGTAAGGTCAAAATTAACCGAAGGAATCCTAAGGTTCAGAGATGGTTTATGCACAAAGAGGCAACGTGTCTCGCCGCTAGTTGGATCCCTCCACAATTCTAACACCTTGTCCACGGCTTTTATGCTGCCCGCTGGGAAAAGGTTTAAGTAAAGGGTTGAAAAGGTTAATTTAACATATTAAAATAACAATAATAATAATAATAATAATTAAAATAATTTTATTTTGACTGTGTTTTTTTTAAAAGTCAATGAGTATTTTATTTATTTTTTATCTTGTATTAACTTAAATTTTTAATTAAATTAGATTGAATCAATTATTTCTTTATATTTTCTTAAATTTAAATCGGTTCAAGCTGCGAGTTAATATATCAAATCAATTTTATTTTTGTAATTAATATTATTATAATATTATTAATTTTAATATTTAATATAAACTAAAGTAATATATTTCTAATAATTTTTAAAAATAATTTTGACAATAATAAATTTATTATGTTTATCGTAACCAAATAAAATATGGGAATACTCCTTTTATTTTGTATATGATCATCAAATATATTTTTAATTTTAATTTTTTTATTTTATCTCCTCTATCTTTACTATTTATGTCTTTTCTGTCTTACAATATTAACTAAACACTATTTTAATAATTTATTTTACTGCATGTCACCTCAAGGAATAAAAATTTAATTTGAGAAGAGATTATATCTAGAATTTGTTTAAACACTTATTTATTAATATGGAGACCCATAAAAATGTAACAGTAAGAGAAATTAAATATTTTGATGTGTCTAAACATGTTAATAGATTATTAAACTTGGTTTTATCAGAGATTTTTTTTTCCTGCGTTGAGATCCAATGAACTTAATTTGGACTAACATAAATACAAAATTAATGAGGATAATTCTATCTTAAATCTCATTCTATCTTCTTCTAATAATTGAATTCAAGATCTTTTCAATGGAAATCCCAAGGGTGGAATGGGAGAAGAAGTGTTCTGTGTTAGTGAACACTAAGAGCTCTATTAAGTATGGGTGTTTTATTCTCTTTCTTATGGGTAGTATGCTAGCTTGGAATGTATGTGATCTGGGTGGCAGGGACAAGAGGAGAGTTTTGAGAAAATTAATTAGAAAGAATTATAATATCGACTTTATTTGTGTTTTGGACACTAAATTAGAAATCGTGGATGAGAAAATTGTTAATGCTGTTTGGGGACGAGAACATAGGTCTTGGTATGTTGTACCTTCGTTGGGTTTATCTGGAGGAGTTCTGTGCATATGGAATCATTCTAATTGTTGTGTCAACTCGTCTTATGTAGAGTTCAACGGTGCAAACTTGGGGATAGAAACACAAAATCTTTTCATTTATCTGCAGCTATGAGAAGGGAGAAGAATGTTATTCTCTCTTTATCTATTAATGGAAGAACTGTCTCAAAGCCATTGGATATGAAGAAGGAAGTGGCAATGTTCTACAAAAGTCTTTGTTGTCATAAAAAAGGATCAGACAATCATGCTCAAATCTGTTGTTCAAGAAGCTGTCACCACAATATGTTGCTGCTCTTGAGACCCCTTTCTCTTTTGAGGAAGTTAAAGATGCTATCATATCTGGGAATGTGATGGCGATAGAGCACCTGAACCTAATGGAATCAAAAAAAAATTATTAAGAAAGCGTGGGATACAATCGGTAATGACATTTACAGCATGGTGCTGATTTCTACACATCAGGCCTGTTACCAAAAGGCATAAACAACCCCTTCATCACTCTTATTCCTAAAGTTGCTAGGTCAAATTAGAATGCTTTTATCAGGGGAGGACAGATACTGGATAGTGCGCTCATTGCTAATGAAGTTGCAAGTTATTTTTTTAAAAAAATGGTTAAAGAGCTACCCTTCAAAACCGACTTTCATAAGGCTTTGATTCTGTAATTTGGGAATTCCTGGATGAATTTATGTCTTGTATACGTTTTGGTTCTAGATGAAGCGGCTGGATTAATCCATATGTCTCGACAGTTGAGCTCTCAGTACTCGTGAATGGCTCTCCTTCTGAGGAATTCAAGATGGGAAAAGGTTTGAGACAGGGTGATTCTCTATCACCTTTTCTTTTCAATATTCTATGTGAAAACCTGTAATCAGTAGAATCATGTCAGGGCCTTATGCTTGGAAAGGAAGACACTTGTCAATTGGTGGGAGGGTGTGTCTCTTTAAATATGTTTTAAACAATCCGCTCATATATTATCTGTCTTCATTCCCTATTCCTTTAAAGATTTTAGCTAAAATTGAAAGACAGATTCGATTCTTTTTGTGGTCTGGGAAGGAGGAGGGTAGAGAAATGTGTAGTGTCAAATGGGCTTCGGTGGTTCTTTCAAAATGTCAGGGTGATCTTGGGATATGTTCCATTTTGTATAAAAATAAAGCTTTGTTGTTCAAGTGGCTTTGGAGATATAGGAGTTCTGATACAGCATTATGGAAAGATAAGGTCTCTAGTATTCATAAATTGAAAATGACTTTTAATCTACCCATGGACAAGGTTAAGGCTAGAGGTAGTCCCTGGTTAGAAATTCTCAACAGAATCAACGCCGAAGGGGTTAATTTTAGCTAGAAGGGGCATTGGTGGTGTTGTGGATGCAGTTTGTCCTGTTCGTCTTCTGTCAGAGGAGTCTGTGGAACATCTCCTTATACATTTTCATAGTCACTGGAGAATTTGGGCTAAATTCATTGAATGGTGGGGTTTATCCTCGTGTTGTCCAAATAGCTGATCTGGCTTGCTACAACAATGGGAAGTCCTCGTTGAAGGGGAATTTCAGAACAAGGTATGGTTCATGTTATTTTTTGCTACTATCGGGTCATTATGGCTTTCCCGAAATGAATTGATTTTTAATCTAAAAGAGCAAGATTTTGGTTGTTTATTTCTTCTTATTTTAACCAGACTCCATGTGTGGTTAAAAGCTCTCTCTTCTGACTTTCCTTATTGTGCCCTGGATTTGCTTTTATCTACTGATGGGCTGGTTAGATGGACAAATCTTAAGGGTCTTAGACCTCTTGTTACGTGGTCTCCACCAGCTTTTCATGGCCTTAAATGGAATGTGAATGGATCTTCTATTGGAAAGCCCGGACCTGCTGGCGTTGAGGTGTTCTTCGTGATCATAAAGGTGTGGTGCAATGTATGTTTTCTATGTCTGTTGGAATAAAAGAATCTAATGAAACTGAGCTGCTTGCGGTGATTAAAGCGCTGGAACTATCATCCACCAGAGAAGAGTCTATAGGGAAGAGTATTATAATTGAATCGGACTCGGCTAATGCGATCTATTGGATGTCTAATGAATCCAACACCCCGTGGAGAAACTGCATCAGCTCTTCATACTTGCCTCTAGATTTTCTTTAGTTTTGGGTTTTGTAAAATACTCGTACTCTACGACGGAGGGTAACCATATGGCAGATGCACTCGCTAAATAAGGTGTTAGCAGAGCTTCCAAATTGGTAACTCGGCTTCGACAACTTACTCCCTCCAAGAATAAAAATAATAGAGTGTGTTTTGTTTGATACTGACTAAATCTTGATGGAGATTTCCATGCCCCAGGACTCTATTATGTCGAGACAAGATTCTTGAATGCATTGAAATTCAGAGGGATATAAAGTCTATGGATAAAGAAAATCATCTTTGGATGCGTACCTTTGGAAGGCTTTGGCAAGGGATAGATCTCTACTTGTTGCTACTTTCTGCTATGGGGTTATGTTTGTGCCCTTGCATGGCAATTTTGTTTATGTAGTATCAGCTTTTCTCTGACCCTTTTGAGTTGTTAGTTTTTCCTTCTTCATGCTTTAATGTATTTGCCTATCACAAACAAAATCACTGAGTTGTTTCCATGAGAACTCATTATGATGAGATAAGACTTTCTAAGAAAAATATGTTCAGAGTTTCTTGATTTTTTACACTAAAAGTCATTGTTCATGAGAGAGAGCAATAACTTCCAAGATTTATCAGGAAATTCATCGCTTGTTAACATCTGGATGTCTGTATCTTTCAATTTAGCTCTTCCGTTTGTTTAAGATCTTAATTAATTCATTTAGTTTAGCAAAACTTTTAGGAACCTCTTTACCACTCTTCTGCTTTTATTATTTGCAATTAAGCTAAATAAATATCATAATTAATATTAAAATGTTACGAAAAAAAAAAACATGTTGGCTTCTTCCCCTAGCTGTATATATAAATGTATCACATATATAGATCGATATTCAAATCAAACAAAAATGTCAAGTGCTAGTACTGCCACCATTTTCCTCCTCCTGGCCATAGCAGCCACCACCAGCTTTTGCCTTCAAGAATTGGAGAAATCAGAAAACTTCCGAACCCAAACTGATCAAGCTACTGAAGCTCTAGCTTTCAATGTGAAGTCCGGTAGAGGGCTGAAAAGGAGTACGTATATCTTAATATGGCTATTTCACTTGTATATGGCCCCGTTCAAAGAACTTTTTTTTCTTTTTTAATGATAATTAAGGTTCCTAATTAACAAATACCTCATTTATTTTATTGTTATACTCTATGCCAAAAGCAATTTCAAAAGACGCCAAAATTCTCCAAGTTCCAAAAATTAAATTTCTTTTCTGATTTTGCATTTCAGGAAAACCAAACGGGAAAATTCTGACATCATGGAATCCAGAAAATTCGAAGGCGGACTACGTGGTGGCACAGGATGGCTCTGGTACACACAAAACAATCAATGATGCCCTTGCTGCACTTGACAAAACGGGTGGTAACCGGAGAAACCAAAGGGTGATATTCTACGTTAAAGCAGGGGTGTACAATGAGAAAGTGGTAATTAAGAAAAACATGGAAAATTTGATGTTTGTGGGCGATGGCATTGATAGAACCATTGTCACAGGCAACAGAAATGCTAAACGCGATGGACATGCCACGCACGAGACAGCTACATTCGGTAAGATCATTGAAAGCGGAGCATGTACTTCAGATTGTACAATTTGTTGTTGTTGTTTGTCTTTTCAAGCGCTGAGAGTTAAGATCAAGCCCTGTTTCAACAATAATATAGATATCAAAACTTTAAGATTTTAATTACTAATTGATCTCCTATTTTGTGCAGGTGTACATGCAGATGGGTTTTGGGCTAGAGACATGACATTTGAAAACACAGCAGGCCCCGACGGAAGCCAAGCAGTGGCACTAATGGTGAGTTCAGAGCACTCGGTTGTTTATCGTTGTAGCTTCAAGGGTTACCAAAACACACTCTATGTACGATCCAAAAGGCAATTTTATCGCGACTGCCATATATACGGCACTATCGATTTCATATTTGGCAATGCTGCGGTGGTTTTGCAAAATTGCGACATCTTCGTGAGAAAACCAAATGACAACCAAAAGAACGTGATAGTTGCACAGGGAAGAAAAAGCCCTGATGAAAACACAGGGATTTCTATTCAAGGATCGCGAATTAGGCCGGCCCCGGATTTCATCGGCGTCAAAAACATCCCTACTTTCCTAGGCAGGCCATGGAGAAAGTATTCCAGGACAGTGATTTTTGAGACGGACATTGATGGCTTTATTGATCCAGCAGGGTGGTTACCATGGGACGGCAGTGTTCATCTTAATACATTGTTTTATGCAGAGTATAACAACATAGGCTGTGGTGCATCTACAGAACACAGGGCAAAATGGCCTGGCTTTCACGTCTTTAAAAGTTGGAAGGAGGCTAGCCCTTTTACCGTGAATAAGTTCATAAAGGGAAGCTCATGGATTTCTCAGACGGGCGTGTCCTATAAGTTGGGAGTCTAAAGGCCTCTCTTTTCGTCCTAGTAATGTGGTGTTTACCATAATAGTGGTTTCAATTAGAGCATCAAAATTGTCCTGTAAAATAAATGATATTTTTGTAATGGTGAAGGAGACAAGTTCATTGCAGAGTTCTATATTGTTAATGTTGAATCAATTCAGTAGAAACACTCAACACTGGAACTTCTTGGATAATAGCTCTCCGAAATTGAAGATTTTCTCTACGAAGTTAATCTGTTGTTGCAAAAAAAGTAAACTCAATCTTAATAAAAATTAAAGCCGGTAAGCTCTCCCCGCTCTTGATTTCTTGCCGTCGTCTCTGCCCCTCGACGAGCTCTGCTTCTTCGTTAAGACCACCAGGATAAGATCCATCGCCTTCTTCGCAGTAGCCTTTACATCATTTTCTTATCACCACTACCATACCAACCAGCCAACTGATTCTGTTACGATACTTTACTATTTTTATTCACGTGTGTTGCAGTCTCTGGTAATGCCATCTCTGTATTTGGTGAAGAGTAACCGTACATAGCCTGAAAATGGCTAATTTTAATACTGAAATGATAATTGGAATCGTAACACCATTTTATTATAGATAAAAATAAATTATTATGAATTTTTTTTTAAAAAATGGATAAAAATCTCTTTTGTTTTCAAGTTCAAATAAATACAGAATCAAAGAGGAGGGAGAGGAGTACAATGAAGCGGGTCTTGTGGACGGAGGAGAGATCGGAGACTTGTTGATTAGAAACGATGTCGTCAAGGAGAGATTTGACGAGTTTCCACTCTTGTAAGAAGTGCTTTCGGAGAAATCTCTCTTTCGAGTCGTGTTCATCTTCGTCGTCTTCTTCTTCCGTTGGGGCAGGCATTAGAAAATTGAAGAGAGGGGGTGAGAAAGGAATGCTTGCTTGCTTCTGGGATTGAAATTGAATTCCCGCCTGGATTTATTTAGCACTCCTTTTCTAAATTCTGTATGGACCCCACAGAGTCTCGATATGGAATTAAAAATCAAGTTTCCGTTGCCGGGACTTGAACCCGGGTCGCTCGGGTGAGAGCCGAGTATCCTAACCAACTAGACTACAACGGATTTGTTGGATAAACGTGGCAAAATATTATATTTATATATTTTATTAATTATCGACCAAACTAGTTTTTTCAACCATTTGAATAGTAGATGTGGAGGATATACGTTCCTAGTCCAGCGAATAGCATAATATACAAGCCGGGCCTTTGGGTGAACTTTGTTGCATTTGCAAATTATAGTGTATAGACTAAAAATGTTAATATATGAGGTATTGTTTCTAGCACCACCCACTTGTAAAATGTTTACTCAATGCCCAGCTTGCTTTATGATCTCCACGTTATTGCCTCAATTCTTGCTCTTTTTTTATTTTGTTGTACTAAAAATGAGCTTTAAAAACTATCATTTTAAGACATTAAAAGCGTCACCATTTGAAGCTTGCAATCTAAACAAGATAGATAGTATAGTTTACTCAGATGACTAAATGCATATGATATTCATAAAAAGTGCAGGTTGGATGTCCAAAAGCTACTAAAATCCCATGTTACCTATTTCTAGTCTAATTAAGTAGATATAGTATTTCCTTACACGCACTATGTCCTATGCTGCAAATCATAAATATATATATATATATATATATATATGTGTGTGTGTGTGTGTGTGTTGTTGATAGGTTTTCTTAGCATAAAAAGATTAAAACTATATGGGAATTGATCTAATTAACTTGATAAGTTCAAAAAAATTGAGTAATTGATAAAAATATAGCTTTATTTAAAAAAAATCAAAACAATAATTTTTTTTAAATATTAAAATAACAATATATTAGATAAACTCGAGTTAACCTACCATATTTATTACTCAGGTCATGAGACTCTAATAACCCTATAAAAATTGAATAAAATAAAATTATTAAACACAATTCTCATTTAACATAATGTTGAAGGATGAAAATTAAAAACAAATTTTAACTGAAAATTAAACCAAGTCAAATGGCTTGAATAACTAAAGTGATTGCACTTTGCCTCTATATTCTAGCATGGGATCGAATAACCTCATAATACATCAATTAAAATAAAATATAAAACTTGATTCTTAATTAATTTAATATTAAGAGATAAAATTAAAAAAATCAACTAAAACAACACAAAAAAATACGATTCAACAAGCCTAACTCGCGACTAGGATTATAAAATCATAATAAATCCATAAAAAGCAAATTAATAAATAAATACACACACACACACACACACACACATATATATATATATAAACTCAATTCTCAATCAACTCATTATTGAAAGATTAAATTAAAAAAAAAAACTCAAGTTAACTTGAGTTAACCTACCATATCTAAGTCAAGAGAATATAATAACTTTACAGAAAGCAAATCGAAAAAAAATATATAAAGTTCAACTATCAATCAATTAAATTTTAGAGGATAAAATTTAAAAAGTATATATTTAACTAAAAAAACATAAAAAAAAAAACTCGAGTTAATTTGTCTGCATGGTTGTTTAGATTAATTTTTTCAATGTGAAAAAAAATATTTAAGTATTGCTAAAATATTTTCTAATAAGAAAAAAAATTAAACTATATAGAAGTTAATCCGATGGGATGGAATAGATGAACTTAAAAGATTTAAAAATAATCTGGATATAAATTTTTTATTATTATTGAAAGATATAAACAACAATTTGAATCTAAATTAATGAAACTGGAATAAACAAACGGATTAAAAAACACAGCATGTGCAGAGCAATACTTAATTCCCCTCCTCGTTTATTCTGTTAATAATAATAATAATAATTAATAAGAAGCGGAGGTTAGACACATCTTTTGGAGGGATCAGTGGGCTCACAATGGAGGACTAGTGAGGTTTAAGGCTTAAACAGCCCGCTCTCTCAACTATAATGTCTTTAAAGAAGGAAAGTAGATTTAAGCAAGACTTGCTATTTGAAACCGTGTAGGATGCAGGCAAAAACTTTCTTACACGGAACGGAAAAACAAATGATAATGTCAGCATCTTACGCAAAACGATGAGATTACTATTTAGTTATTACTGATTCTTAAAGGTGCCTTGTTCACTTTGTATATAATTGTACAGGAAATTGACAGAACCTCAAAACCAGTACACAGTAAGAAATCTTGAACAGCAAAGTTTGATTCAGAAACACAAGCAAGGTTTACATGTAGCCTTATGGCTTGTGCCTTGCAGCGTACTGCTGAAACAAGGCTAATGCATTGCTCGCAGTCTGTGCCACATTCAAAACCTTGGCCTTGATTACAGCCTTTAACTTGGTCATATCCTTCCCCGGTAACTCATCCACACAAGTACTGGCATCAGTCATGGCAGAGCTTACCCAAGTCTCGAAATTACTCACGTGCCAAAAGACGTCACCACCACCCGCAGCACCTGGATGTTCCAGGCGATGGAGCTCTCTAACTGATTGGCTAAGTTGATCCACGCTGTCACCAATTTGATCCAAGCAGTCCTTCACAGCCTGGTAATCCTTAGATTTCATTGCCTTGAGCTCCTTGACCACTTTCAACATGAATTTTCTTGTTTGGAGGGCCTTGTATAGGCTCACGGATAAGGCAGCTTGGGCTAGTTGTTGAGGGGTTTGTATTGTTGAGTTTGCAAAGACTGATAGGTATTGGGTGCATAGGGATGGATAAAGGGTCTTCGTGCACGCAGTCTCGATATAGGCCCGAGGCCGGGAATGTCTGGCAAACCTTGCTGGTTCCACTGTGCCTGAAATGCAAAATATGGATAGTAGCAGAAGCAGTATGGAAAGGCTGAGATGATTCATTCTTGTTGAAGCTAGTCGAATTGAAGGAAAGGAAATGTGTCTAACACAGAAATGAACTTTCCGTTGAGAGCAGAGGAGGGGGTAAGGCTGTATTTATAGAGAGGCTGTCACAGGCTAAAACTTCATAACTTGGATCTATCTTGCACTTTACTCGTAAATAATACTCAATTATGAGTCCTTGAAAGAAGCCTGATTAGAAAATAGGATTATGCCTATCCGGGTTAGTCAAATGATTAACCCTAAACCTGCATTATCGAGAGTATCTCGGATCTGCAGTGATGAAAAACGAACCTTGGCACGAAGATGATGGTTATCCGAACCTTCATTTTACCATAAAACACTGGCAGGGTTTCTCGGGAAGGGGCACGCACGTGCATTTTGATGGTCAACATTTTAGGTTCTTCATGTTTCTTAATGGCTCCGAAAGTTGGATCCATTATAGTATTATACAGTAGTGGCGAACTGCCGATTCCTTACATGATAAATCAAATTGGTAAATCACGTCAACTTTTTACCAGTAACGACCAGAATTCGTGGGATCAACGGATTATTTGTTTCCTGCCGTTGGATCGGTTGCACCGGAGAGGGTTCAGCGATGCCCGTGGCGACCTGTCTATAAACATGGCAATAGCTATTAATTTCTGATAAACAGTCTGGTCAAAATTATCTTTAAAAAATAAAGTCGTTGTCATAAAAAAAATCTTTCAAAATATTTTTTACGAGATATTAAAATATTATTTTTATTATTATTTTTAAACAATTATTTTTAAGTTAATTTAACATAAAAAATAATTAAATTTTATAAAAATCACGGTTGGACAGCAGAGACAAGCCGTCTCCCACTTTGACACGTCGCAACATGTGCTTCTGAACCTGAGTAATCTTTCAGCAAGGATCAGCCACAATCTCTATCAAATCCACTTTTTTTTATTATCCTGTGGATCCTTGTGCATATCTTGCATTGTTCTCCAGTAACATGATTTGTCTTACATATTATTCAATCCAAGCATCTAGATCCTCCCAGAGATCATACCACAATTCCAAGGGAGATGGGCCTTCACATAAGTAAATGGCACTGATTTTCTCAGTGACAATTTACTGATTTACTATCTGGAACATACAAACCCAGGCAAGATCATGAAGCAGAGACACAGAGTGGGGCAGAGAAGATATGAAAGCTCATCTCTTCTCATCTCTTTCAACGAGAAAGACAATTACATAAATTACAACATTATAAAGGAAACACAAATTGAATCCAAACACACCACATCAACAACACAGCAAATATTTGTTCAGGTTTGGTAATCATTCGGCAACCTTCACACCTGAGAGATAAACACGGCTCTGAATCACACTGCCTCCTATCCAAAACCCAGGCATAACCATTAGACCAACCCTAGGTTTTGGATCATTTTCATCCAATATCAGGTTTTTTACAACACTTTCCATATAAACCTCTGAGAACTCATTTCCTCTCTTAACTTGGAAGACCTTAACATTTGGATCAAAGGAATAAGCCAGCCTGTGCAAAAGCCAGATCGACTTGGCCAGTTTCAAGAACACCTGGTAGAAAGGCGTTCTTGGATGCCCTCCCCCATTTATATAATTTCGCTGATCTAAATTTCCAAAGAATGAAGCCTCCATCTTTGGGTGAACCACCACCAGGTACTTGCTCCTGCAGAATTTCCCAAAAGCAGAATCTGGGTTCTGACCTAGCATGTCCAAAGGATCCATTTCCCTCATAGAAAGAAATTGGTGGAAGAAAGTCTCCTTTGAAACTGCCCCACTGTCTACTTTAATTGAGAAGTTCTCATGCTGAAACCCACTGAACATTCTTTGACATATATGAGACTCAAATGCATACTTTTTGTGGGCTCTCTTTGCATAAACAACGTTGGATTCAATGGAGTTAGCTGCAGCATCAAGATCCCACCCGGCTGCTTTCATCATGTTGATCAATGGTTTAGAAAAATCATGAATGGCTTTGAAAGCAGTTTCTACAGCAGATATGAAGAGATCCGGGGTTAGATCCACAGAATAAAAACCACTTTCATCTCCAGAGCCCTCTGATTCTTTGGTTGACAAGCCCCTGAGTTTAAGATTCTTTTCCAGTTTTGCTCTTTTCTGGTTTGCCTCCTCAATCATCTGCTGCAACTGAAGAATCTCAGAATCTTTATTCTGAATTTCAGATTGGAATTTCTTCACCATAACCTCATATGTTTTGAGCAGGCTCTGCTGTTCTTGGATCTCTGCAGCTAACCGAGAGTCCTGAGGAGAAACACATATTGGCTTGGGGTTGTTTTCCCTGTAGAAATGCTTGAGCTCGGATAGATTTTTCAGCTCGGAAATTACATCTTTGTCAGCAGCTTGTATCTTATCAGGATCGTAGGGAGTGTGAGCAGATTGGAGCTGGATGTAAGCTGATTTCAGAGAGGAGATGTTGGTAAATATTTTGGATATCAAGGCTTCCAAAGCTTCTGGATTTTGATTTGCAGAATCTTCCATGGGTTGAGGGTGGACCTTTTGACTGTTGCTCTCGCGGGGTTGATTATCTTTCAACCCAGTGGGTAGCATATCTACTTTCAAAGGATGGGCAATCTAGTTGGATTCCTTTCAAAAATACAACAGTGTGGCACAACCTGCAAAATCTCACATAAGTAATAATGATATCCAAGACTATCAGCAATGCAAGAAGCCATAACTCAAGCAATTCCCAGTAATATTTCACACATGCTAAATCCAAAATAAGCCTAAACTACGTCCACATTACAGAGCAATATTTTCAGATATTGGTCGCATTTCTAAACTGATCTTAATTCTAGCTCATGCACCATCGAGCAACCAGGATGAAGAATGTTGTGTTTGCAAATAATGCAAGAGCAATCTTGTCAACAGTGATTATTTCGCTCCATATAGCTTATGAAAAATGATAAAAATGTTTGATGAATAGGTTCGAAAATTGAAAATACTGCTTCCTGTTGCTTACTATACTCCACACTCACAAGGTGATAACCCAAACATTGTTAATGAATTTTTTTTTTTTTTTTTTTTTTTGGTAGGGGGGGGGGGGGTGTCCATAAAAGCAACTAGTAACAAAGGACTGAAGAAACCAAACCAAAGATGTCATAAGGCATATATCAACATGATCCCAACAAGGCAAGAGAGTCACAATGCACAATACACAATCAATCACTTCTTTTTTTAGTAAAAAATTGCACTGGCAGGATTTGTACCAAAAACTCATTCTGGCCTAAGCCCTGATTGATTGGAGACAAAACATCCGCTTTAGCACTTGGACAAGAACCTAATGGCCTCTCAATCACCAAAATGATTGGAGGGAAATCATTCTATGCTCGACAGGTGAGCCCATAAAGTCAGGAGCCAGGACACAGTGCTCCAGCTAAAACCTTAATATGGTTAGAGAATAACGGGAACTATATAAGTCAGGGATTGACCTAGATCACAACAAGGCTTAATGGATGTATAAAAGATCTAGCACCAACTCAGTTATTAAACACTCAATCTGATTGCAGGACCTTATTTTGGCACAACCAACTGAAAATATAAGAATTTTTAGGGCTAGTTTGCAGAAAAACAAATTTTAGCTCTCTGAGTTTGGAAGCAAAGGTAAGGCTGGCAAAAAGGTAGAAGTGAGTAGAAGAAGAAGAAAAGACCACCAAGCATCAATCCAAAAGGTCCTTTATCATAAAAGATACGCTGTTGACTACCACATTATAGCATCTGAAGAGAAATTCTCAAACTGAGTCCACCTTCAAAACAGACCAATTTTAAATAATTTCCTCAAACTTACTTCTTTTTCCAAAACCCCAGATTTGATCGGTTTTTATCATCAAGCCCTAAAATGAAATAACTCAATTGACTAAAGTCGATCCTTGGTAGAAACTTGGAGTGAAGTGAAGATTCAAACTTTAAATATATGTGAGCTTCTGGCAACTCACTTAAATGATGTGAAATCTCAGTAGAAACTAGCACAGAAAAGACAAATTCAAACTCTTATGTATATCATGCGCTTGCTGCAATGACTCGTCTAAGACTCCAGACATGACATATACTCCCAGATTATACTCAGTGACACCACTTATCAGCACGTCAACCATGCGCATATGATACAGTGATCAACTTGGTTGGGAAAAGGGCAAGTCACAGCATGGACCAGCAGTTGAATCATCCAAAGATCAAGCTTCGAGAAGATGTAGAAGAAGCCAAAAAAGAAAAATACACAAATAACTAGTATTGTAAGGTCATAACCTAGCAGTTTCACTCTTTCTGTAGCCAAAACAAAATCAAAACTAAAACTCTTCAAAAACATTCATAAAAGTTCAAGTTTCTGTGCCGTAGAATTATATTCCTTCTCACTTGATAGCTTATTTAGAAAACGAATAAGAAAAAGTTCATCCGAATCATAAACCACTTTGAGCTGCTTGCTCACCTATAAAGATCAGAAGGCACCCTCAGAATGCACCCAGCTAACATAATACCCGTCGACCTAAAATAAAAAAGCAAAACACAACCAGTTCATTGTCATCGAATCTTGAAAGTTCCATCAAAACCCTAAAAGTAAAGCACAAAAGATTCCAAATTCAGTACCCATCCAGTTTAATTGGGCGCAAAGGAAGTTAGATTGCGGGGCGAAAGAAGATAAATACCTGATCGGAGATGTTTCCGGGGACTGGCCGGAGGCTTGAAGGGCAAGGAGCCGGTGAATGTAATGGAGAGTTTGGTAAAGTTGAGGTTTCAACAAAAATATACCTATCTCGGGAACTCTCTTTGTTGCTTTACTAACTTTCTAATTCTGTGTTTTTTTTTTTTCCGTGGGTTTTTAATAAATAAATAGATAAAATCGTTGTCTTTATTTTGAAGAGTTGAGGAAAGTGCAGGTAGCGCCGTGCTTTTTGAAAATTTAAAATAATTTTTTTATAATTTTAATGATTGATATTAGAAATAATTTTTAAAAATAAAAATATATATTATTTTAATATATTTTTAAAAAAACAAATACTATTGTATTTTTAAATATCACCGAAATGTTGGTGTAACCTCTGATGATGAGTCATGAAAACATCCAATCTTATTTGCTTCCATTCCCTTAATAACAATGATAGAAGATTCACTATTTCATAATAATTCACCATAATCACTTGTATCCCATGCTTTCTTTTTCTTAACTCATTCCTCTTGCTTGGAATATTTTTATTTAATTAAAAAATAATTGAAAAGATAAAGGTATTCATTGGTACCACTATGGTTTCTGGGTTTTCTGTTTTTTATTAAAAAAAAACAAAACCTTGTTTGAATGACCTATTGCGTTCAAACCCGGGCAAGCCAAGAACATCCCTTGAACCGTGGGCGCACGCGCGCCTGTGCTCTTGGCCCTTCTCTTCCTTTTAAAACAAAACCCTATTTATAAAAATAATAACAATACGAACAATATTTGAAAAAATCATTCAACTATACTCATGGTTTTTAAATAAAATTATAGTTTTTTACGATAATATTTGCAAATTACTTTGAATTATTATGTATGAAACTATACGAACAATTTCTTTTAAGAAAGTTACATATGAATATATTTATTATTTATTATTTATTATTTATTATTTATGGTTCCTTATATTTTTTTCCTGAATTAATTATTGTCTAATCTTTTCAATC